GAGATGCCAGGGTCAGGGTCAAGGTCAACCTAGGTCGTCTAAAAATATTGCGTTTTAGGCAAGCTGAATTTACTTTCGTGAAGTTTCTTTGACTGTATTTTTGGCAAAAGCTTCTCAGTTCATGATCTCATGTAATATGGACACATTCACAGTCGGTGCACACATCAGTATACTCGTACACACAGACACACACAGACATACAAACACATGTCATTGACCTTGAGCTAACTTGACCTGAAATGACCACAGCCAGCAAAAACCTAGTCGGATAGTGTGACAAAGAGGTTCTAGCTGGCTTGGCACCACAATACGGCAGCGTCATCGGTACATGATGAGCAGCGCACGTGATATTCCAACGGGCAACGGTGACCCCAAACAGCAACATTCTTTAGTTTGACCTGACCTGGAAGGTCAATGACTGACCTGATGAGGTAAAATTGGTATCATTGGATTCGTCACTTCCCAAAGAATCTGTTGCTCTTGACCGCAAGGCTTAAAATCTTGTAAGAAAAAATTGTGGTGATGTCGAATAAGATGCCTACACAAGCAGCGGGCCAACCCATCATATACCGATGACGCTGCCGTATTAGTGCCAAGCGAGCTAGAACAGCTCTTTGTCACACTATCCGACTAATTTGCTGGCTGTGGTCATTTCACGTCAAGTTAGGTCAAGGTCAATGATATGTGTTTGTATGTCTGTGTAATGTGTATGTCTGTGTATGTACTGATGTGTGCACAGATCGGTTTGTGTGTCCCTATTACACTTGATCATGAACTGAGAAGCTTTTACTAAACATACAGTCAAAGAAACTTCACGAAAAGTAAATTCAGCTTGCCTAAAGCGCAATAATTTTAGATGACCTAGGTTGACCTTGACCCTGACTCTGACATCTGTACATCGCAGAACAACATGTTCAATGATAGGTGGGAGGTAAGACTGGCAAAAAAAAGCCGAAATCAGCGTGTCAAAAGCTCACAAGGCCCATAGCCATCGCAAGATATTGGGTATTCGTCATTTAGGACATGACATGACCTGAAGAACAAGGTCATATCTCCAAACCCAAATGCCGCAGAAGCTTGAAATTTTCAATGGACGCTGAGAAAAGATAGAAAAGCAGCTATACAAAGAAAATCAGGTTTCTAGCTTTAAAAATGTTAAGTGTAGAGCAGAAAAACTAACTTGGGGGTGGCGACCCTCCCCCCAGGTGCCGGCGAAGGTTAACCCTCACACTTTCTGGGGTCGGCTTACGGCTAGATTCCTTGCGCAATGCTGTGCCGTTATTTTTTTTTCTATTATAAAGGCATTGTGTTGTATTGTCAAAAGTGAAAAAGCCAGAAATTTTCGTCGATTTCGGATGCCGCGGGGGATATTTACATACAATGTCACCCTGCTGGCCTGGATCCACCAGTAGGGTCAGGTGACCTACCATTTCTTTATCGATATTAAAAAAAAAAATCATGGCATCAGAGCTGTGACGAAAAATAAGTGGCCTAAATCCGATGAGAAAACTGGATTTGGGGGTACCCCATGTTTGGCTTCTGAGCCTCTGGTCCCCCAATGAAAATTTCTTAGAGGAGGCCCTGGCGTGGCTCGTAAATTACCGCTTCCGCAATTGGAGGCCCCTAATTGCTTGGAGGCCCCCACTAAATGGAGGCCCCCTTGGACGTTTGGGACCCCAATGGTGATGTCAAAGTTTCACCCATGTGTCAGAGTCAGGGTCAAGGTCAACCTAGGTCATCTAAAATTATTGCGCTTTAGGCAAGCTGAATTTACTTTTCGTGAAGTTTCTTTGACTGTATGTTTAGTAAAAGCTTCTCAGTTCATGATCAAGTGTAATAGGGACACACAAACCGATCTGTGCACACATCAGTACATACACAGACATACACACTACACAGACATACAAACACATATCATTGACCTTGACCTAACTTGACGTGAAATGACCACAGCCAGCAAATTAGTCGGATAGTGTGACAAAGAGCTGTTCTAGCTCGCTTGGCACTAATACGGCAGCGTCATCGGTATATGATGGGTTGGCCCGCTGCTTGTGTAGGTATCTTATTCGACATCACCACAATTTTTTCTTACAAGATTTTAAGCCTTGCGGTCAAGAGCAACAGATTCTTTGGGAAGTGACGAATCCAATGATACCAATTTTACCTCATCAGGTCAGTCATTGACCTTCCAGGTCAGGTCAAACTAAAGAATGTTGCTGTTTGGGGTCACCGTTGCCCGTTGGAATATCACGTGCGCTGCTCATCATGTACCGATGACGCTGCCGTATTGTGGTGCCAAGCCAGCTAGAACCTCTTTGTCACACTATCCGACTAGGTTTTTGCTGGCTGTGGTCATTTCAGGTCAAGTTAGCTCAAGGTCAATGACATGTGTTTGTATGTCTGTGTGTGTCTGTGTGTACGAGTATACTGATGTGTGCACCGACTGTGAATGTGTCCATATTACATGAGATCATGAACTGAGAAGCTTTTGCCAAAAATACAGTCAAAGAAACTTCACGAAAGTAAATTCAGCTTGCCTAAAACGCAATATTTTTAGACGACCTAGGTTGACCTTGACCCTGACCCTGGCATCTCTACATCATTGAACAACATGTTCCATGATAGGTGGGAGGTAAGACTGACAAAAAAGGCCGAAATCAAGGTGTCAAAAGCTCACAAGACCCAACGCCAACGCAAGATATTGGGTATTTGTCATTTGGGTTATGACATTACCTGAAGAATAAGGTCATATCTCCGAAACCAAAAACCACAGAAACTTGAAATTTTCAGTGGACGCTAAAAAAGGATAGAGCAGCAGCTATACGAAATATCCGACTTCTAGCAATCAAAATGTTTAGTGCAGAGCAGAAAAAACTACCTAGGTCGGGGTGGGGGGTGTGGCAACCACTGCCCCCCCCCCCCATGTGCGGACGAGGATTACCTAAGTAATTTGAATATCAGGAAAATAATTTATTAAATCAGGTATTCCAACAGAGTCCCGCTTTTTTATAGGTGACCTCCGATTTGTGTTGCATCTAAGTTACCCAGGGGGCCTCTTATTTGTAATTGTAGGTACAGTACAGAGAGCCTCCTACTTCGACTACTTGCACAGAGAGCCTCCTAGCGTACATACGGCTAAGCTTCTACAGGTCGAGCGCCGGTCTCTTGTACGTACAGAGAGCCTCCTACTGTTACAGAGGGCCTCCTGTTTGTCTAGGGGGCCTCCTATTGGTTAACGGCGCCTCCTATTTGTCCAAGCGGCCTCCTATTCGTCTATGGGACCTCCTATTTGTCCAGGAGGCCTCCTGTTTCTCCAGAAGGTCCCCTATTTATCCAGGGGGCTTCTATTTTCCAGGGGGCCTCCTCTTTATCTAGGGGGCCTCCTACGTGTTCAGGGGCCTCCTATTTGTCCAGGGGCCTCCTATTTATCCAGGGGTCTTTTATTCGACTAGGAGTCTCATATTTGTGCAGGGGCCTCCTATTTGTCCAAGGGTCTCCTACTTGTCCCGGGGCCTCCTTTTTTTGAAGGGACTCCTTTTTGTTAAGGGAGCCTTCTATTTGTCCAGGGGGCCTCCTATTCGTACAGAGAGCCTCTAGCTCCTACTTGTCCATGGAGCCTCCTATTTGTTCAAGAGGTCCCCTATTTGTCCAGGGGGCCTCCTATTTGTCCAAGGGACCTGTTATTTTTCTAGGGGGCCTCTTTGCCCAAGAGGCCTCCTATTTGTCCAGCGTGCCTCCTACATGTTCAGGGGGCCTCCTATTTGTCCAAGGGGCCTCCTATTGGTTAAAGTAGCCTCTTATTTTCCAAGCGGCCTCCTATTTATCCAGAGGGCTCCTATTTTTAGGGGGCCTCCTCTTTATCCAGGGGGCCTCCTTGTTCAGGGGGCCTCTTAATTGTCCAGGGGCCTCCTTTTGTGAAAGGGGCCTCCTATTTGTCCAGGGGGCCTCCTTTTGTGAAAGGGGCCTCCTTTTTGTCTAGGTCTAGGACCTTCTATTTGTCCAGGGGGCCTCCTATTTTTGCAGGGGCCTCCTATTTGTACAGAGGGCCTCCTACTTGTCCATGGGGCCTCCTATTTGTCCAGGGGCCTCCTTTTGTGAAAGGGGCCTCCTGTTTGTCTAGGTCTAGGACCTCCTATTTGTCCAGGGGGCCTCCTATTTTTGCAGGGGGGCCTCTTATTTGTACAGAGGGCCTCCTACTTGTCCATGGGGCTTACTATTTGTCTAGGGGCCTCTTATTTGTCTAGGGCCTCCTATTTGTCCAGGAGGCCTCCTACTTGTCCAGAGAGCCTCCTATTTCTCCAGGGGACTTCCTGTTTTCCGGGGGCCTCCTACTTGTTCAGGGGGCCTCCTACTTGTTCAGGGGGCCTCTTACTTGTTCAGGGGGCCTCCTACTTGTTCAGGGGGCCTCCTATTTGTCCAACAGGGCCTCCGATTTGTCCAAGGGGCCTCCTATTTAAACAGAGAACCTTTTATATGAATATCGGACCTCCGTTTGCAAAGTAGCTGATGCGTCTCGGGGGCCTCCACTATTGGGGTCCCAAAATGACAATTGGGGTCCCAAATGTTCGCATTGGGGTCCCACATGGGACCTCGAAAGTATACAAAGTTACACCCATGCAAGGGACGCAAAAATTATTTACCTTCTTCGATTTTTACAATGTTCTAACACCAAAATATTTTTTGAAAGCAGCAAATAAAAAACATGCAGTCATCAGCTGCAGCCGTTGCCCAACTGAGCTTCGCAATTTTTTGTGCCGTTAACAAGGCAGGCTTCCGCTTTACGCTAAGAACATTAATTTCCAGGTCCGATTCTTTGTTTCGTCGCCAGAGGGGGTGGGGCGTCTTTCCCACCCTGGGCATCTTACCCCACTCTCCCCTATGCTAGGCTCTAGGCTGGAGATGATTTAGCGTTGCAATGTTGCAGCTGCTGCGGTGGCGGCGGCCGTGGCTGGCACTAGTGACTGTGGTATCGTCCGCCAGGCGGCAGCAGCGGCGCTCACCTGCGCGCCGCCGCACCTCGGCCACCCTCTCCTCGGTGGCCTTCACGGTCTGCGCCATGATCTCGCTGGCCTGCCGCCGGATGTCGGAGGGCTCGTGGGCGCGCGTCCAGGGCGTCGCGTCTCCGCCGTCGGCCGGCCGCTGCTGCAGCATCGTCAGCGCCCGCTTCGTCTTTTCCACCATGCTGAGGATGCAGTTGAGCATCTGCGGGAGCGGGGACGGCGGCACGGGGTGGTAACAGGGGCGGCGGCACAGGGTGGTAACAGGGACGGTACAGGGCGTCACGGGTGGTAACAGGGGCGGCGGCACGGGGTGGTAACAGGGGCGGCGGCACAGGGTGGTAACAGGGACGGTACAGGGCGTCACTGGGTGGTAACAGGGGCGGCGTCACAGGGTGGTAACAAGGGCGGCGTCACAGGGTGGTAACAGGGGCGGCGGCACGGGGTGGTAACAGGGGCGGCGGCACGGGGTGGTAACAGGGGCGGCGGCACGGGGGCGGCACAGGGCGTCACCGGGTGGTAACAGGGGCGGCGGCACGGGTGGTAACAGGGGCGGCGGCACGGGGGCGGCACAGGGCGTCACCGGGTGGTAACAGGGCGTCACGGGGTGGTAACAGGGGGCGGCGGCACAGGGCGTCACGGGGTGGTAACAGGGGCGGCGTCACCGGGTGATAACAGGGCGTCACGGGGTGGTAACAGGGGCGGCGGCACGGAGTGGTAACAGGGGAGGCGTCACAGGGTGGTAACAGGGGCGGCGGCACTGGGTGGTAACAGGGGCGGCGGCACAGGGGGCGTCAAAGGGAATTGCAGACAGGTTGTGTGTTCACCGCCTTGTCAGACATGGATATTCAGTGTGATGTCACTTACCACGTGGATGTTTTTCCACTCGTCCGAGTCGGCCGGTTTGCGCTCCTCGTCTCGCGGGCTGACGGCCCTCAGCGCCATGGGCCGCGCGTCACCGTTCAGCGCCGGCAGGTGCCCGCTGAACGGCGGCGAGTGCAGCCCGCTGCTGTGGTGCCGCTTCAGCGGCGGCGAGTAGGTCCGCGCGTCGGCGCCGCCCTCGGCCAGGCTGCCGGTGGACGGACACGCGTGAGTGGCGACTGGCGGGCGCGGCTGGCGGCCCGGCCCCGGCGCCGGGCCGCGGACACAGCGACGCTATCTGGACAGCGTCAGCGGCACCGAGTGACTCAACTGCGCGCCCGGCGCTGAATGGGCTCCGTCACCGCCGCCGGCGGACAGTGGTCCGGCTCCTGTCTGGCCGCTGAACAAATAACCGGGCCCGCGGCGCCCGCCGGATAGCGGCAGCAGCGGGGAGGCCCTGGCCGTCACAGACACAGACGCCGCCGGCCCGCCGAGCACATGTGGCGGACATTGCGTCACCGCGCAAACAGATTGCAGCAGCTGCCGCCAGCCTCGCCACCAGATGGAACTGGGAGGGACCCTGACCCCGCCGTCCCCGCGGTCACCCTCTGTCCGAGGGGCCCCGCCGGCCCGGGTCACCCGCTGCCCGCAGAACTCTGACCCCGCGGCCACCCACCTGTCCGAGGACTTGCGTTTGCGCAGGTCGTGCGCCTCGGCGCTGAAGATCTCTGATGGCTCGTGGGCCGTGTAGGTGGGGTCCACCAGCATGTACTCGTGCTGTCGCAGGTACTGCTGCATCGTCTGCCGGCAGCGCGCCGTCAGTCACCTGTCCGGCAGCCCTGTGTGGTGCGCGTGCACCGCTCTAACCTCTCAGCACCGGTCAACAACTGACCCGCCATTGAGAACAGACACCCACCGGAAGTCTTCTCACTGGCGCTTCGTGTGAATATACCACCAATAAGCACTCTCCAGCATCAAACATGCCAATTCCTGTACATAGAAGATAGCTTTTTTTTCCTAATCACTCTGTCGGTCCTTACTCCATTCCCGTTGCGTAACCCTGAACCTGATAAAGTAATCGTTTCTGCGTGAAAAACTGTCGTCCAACGTCGCCCCTGTGACCGCCCAATTACGGAGCATACGGCACTGAACAGCCCCCGGAGGAGCCGGGGCCGGCCGTAGGGGGGGGGGGGGCCGCACTGACCAGCTTGGCCAGCCGGGCGTGGTGCGCCATCTCGCGCTGCAGCAGCGGCAGGTTGGCGCGCAGGAACGGCACCACGAACGGCCGCAGCGGGTAGTGGGTGGCCTCCTGCAGCGCTCCGTGGAACTCCTCGATGGTCAGCGTGCCGTTCTGAAGCCGGGTCAGGTCAGGTCAGCGCCGGTAGGGAGGAGAGGCCGAGTGACTGAGAGTATCGGCCGGTCAACATCGCGGCGTGGGAGTGTCAGTGGTGCTCTTCCTTCGAGTATAGGCTGTCAGCAGCATTGTATTGTATTGTATTGTATTGTATTTACGATCATGGGCGATCCACACATGGCGTGGCGATTACTGCCCTTACTGCCCCAGCGAGTGCCGGCAGACGGCCGGCTGAAGCGCCACTGCGCTGCAGCAAGAAGGGTCGCACAGTCCACATGCCAAAGACTAGACATAGCGAACTATCAGCCCCACGGCCCGCAGTCACGAGTGTCCCAGAGCAGCCACTGAACGGTAGGTACGACCGTACGCCGGACCATCGGCGTCACTGGCCAGGGCACGGCCGTCCGGCACCCGTCCCACAGCGTACAACCCGGCCGCCCGTACCGACACGCAGGAGAGCGGCGGCGGTCCCCGGGCTCCGCAGTCCGCCCACTCACCACCAGGCTGAGGATGAGGCCTCTGACGCGCTCGCCGACCTCCTCGGAGATGTCCAGTCCGAACTTCTGCAGCGTGGTGAGGAAGCGCTTCAGCTTGCTGAGGTGGCGCAGCGGCGGCAGGTCCGGCTCAGGCGGCGAGGGGGTGCCGACGCGGCCGGCCGGCGCCGGCGCCGCGACGCCGTTCAGCGCTGCCGCACACAGACAGACGCACACCGCCCGGTTATGGATGCCGGGCGCACACAGACACACACCGCACAGTTACAGGTGCCGGCCGCACACAGACACACACCGCCCGGTTATGGGTGCCGGCCGTACACAGACACACGGACGGCAGTTACAGGCGCAAGCCGTACACAGACGTCAGACACACTGCCCGGTTACAGGTGCCGCACACACACAGACAGACACCGCCCGGTTACAGGTGCCGGGTGCACACAGACACACACCGCCCGGTTACAGGCGCCGGGTGCACACAGACACACACCGCCCGGCTACAGGTGCCGGCCGTATACAGACACACGAACGGCAGTTCCGTTATAGGCGTAATAACGCACACATAGCCTCGTTGCAGGCGCCGGCGTCAGGGACACAAGGCCCCGTTGCAGGCGCCGGCGTTGGGGAGTCAAGGGACACACATGGCTCCGTTACAGGCGCGGACTGGCGCTGCCGCCGCCCATTGCGTCATTGTGTACCCTCGGCCGCGATCAACGATAAGTATGGTCACTAACGAGACACGATGTACCCGCCAAACATAGCTGGGACGCCGGCTCCCTCTCTCGATGGCATCATCTCCATGATTAGGTAGGTAATTGCCTGCTGTATTACTGCCTGGCGTGATGTTCTAACAGCATTCTGCCGCTGCCGGATGTCGCCAAACGGTTCAGTTATCGCTGTCCGCTGGTCTGAGGCTGCCCTCAGGGTCTCTCCTCTGCGGCGGTTTCCGTGACGACTGGGGCCGCCGGCCGCACTATAGCACAGTTCGACCTTGACCGCCGCCGCTAGCGGTCGCGGTCCCGCGCGCTCCGGCCCGCCCGTTCGCTGGCACGCCGCTGCGGTGGGAGGGACCACTTGCGATACAGTGAATCTGATACCAGTGAAGGATCGTGCACAGTGAGTGACTGAGAGGCGTCACCCAGTGACACAGTGACGACGAGATGATCGACGATTCGCTCAGTGCCGAAATCAAGGCCCATATTTTGGCCTCGTTTAAGGACACCGAGGTCATTAAGGCCTTTACCGAGCACATTCTGTCTGAAGTGCTGGGGCCAGCTATCAAGAAGGAGCTTGCAAAACGAGACGAGAAGATAGAGGTCCTGCAGAAACAGCTGGATGAGAAGGTGAGCGAAGTTGATGGTCTCAAGATGCAAATTGACGAGATCGAGCAATACTCACGAAAGTATTGTATAAACATCAAAGGGGTACCCGAGACTCAAAGAGAGGACCCCATTGAGATAGTTATGAACATTGCTAACGGTATAGGTGTAACGCTGCAAGCCAGCGACATTGACGTTGCCCACCGAATCGGGCGATCGGAGCGGACCGCCAGAGGGGTCAAAACAAGGGACCTCTGTGTCAAGTTCCGCTCGTATCAGAAGCGTCAGGAAATGTGGCAGTCCCGTAAAGCCCTGAGAAGCAAACCGCAGGCTGGAAGACGGATGACACGGGCCAAAGGCGCCAACCAGGGTGAACAAGTGCCAGAAGTATTTATGTACGAAAATCTAACACGTCACAGACAAAAAGTAATGTACGTGGCTCGCGAGCTGAAACGGGCTAACAAGCTGTGGGCTGTGTGGAGTGACGGAGGAGTAATGAAGGTGAAGAAGACCCAGACATCCAGCACAGTCATTATCAAGACGGAAGCTGACGTCCAGAAGATCGCCGAGGAGAACACTGCGCAGCCGCCGGCTGTCTCGGCTCGCGCCGGCTCTGCTGACGCGCGACACCGAGAGGAGGCAGGTGGCGCTGCGGGAGCTGGCGCAGAGGCAGCAGGTGGCGCTGCGGCTCCTGCACCTGGCGGAACGTGTGGCAAGTAGCGCTTCCGCTGCTGAGAGGTGGCGCTGTCCGGCGGCCGGTGGCGTGAGTAGCGACCGGCGGGATAAGTAAACTGACTGTCTGCTTCCAACTGCCCCGTTACGGAGAGGGAAGGTGGCGAGGGGGTGGAGTGGGAGACAAGGGTGGGGCGGGATGGAGAGGGGACGGAAGTGAACGGGGTTGACCGCGCACGACTGCTATGTCCTGTGACCTGTTTGTTTACATGCTTTTTAAGTTGACCACGGGAAGTAAGATGTGAAATACAATGGGTAACAACTCTGCTTGCCTATACACTGTTTGAATTGCGCTTGAAGTACTTTTTTGCTGTTTGTTTTTGTCAGTGACAGCGCCACCTCGATGAGCGCAATCCCACCTAACTGGAAGAATGTGTCGCGTAACTTATGTTTAGTCGCGCCACTTCAGGGTTTTCGCGCCACCTCAGGGCACCGGCAACTCTGTCTCCACACCTAACCCAGTGAACTACAAGGGCAGAGTTTCATCGTTAGCAACCACTTCGCCATTTAGCTTGGGGGTGTGATAACAGAGTTTTGGATTGAATCCCATTTCGAGAGTTGACTGTTAACTGGACCGTTTTCACAATGCTATACCTAACATGCACCGGGTAAATGCACTCGTACTATATGCACCAATGTCATCTATGTCAATGCTGTTTGACTTTTGTGTCTCTGGGAGACGTCGTGATTTTTCCTATGTTTAAGTATTCTGGTGAGCGCCGCCGCGGGGCCTGTGGGGTGCCGCCCGCCTGCTGCGCTGAAAGCCTGTACAGCGCTGTAACCCGCCACTGGAGGAGATGTCGTCAGCTGTCCTCGGAACGTCTCTTGATCTGGACTTCTTCATCTGGTGTAGGTGACTGTTTTCCCAATAAATCCTACTTACCTAATCCTATCCCCACTCATCATACGTATTATCGGAGCAACTTGACACGTTCATTCAGCTATTATACACCTCAGCACACTCACTTTACACATGCCCAAAAGAGACTTCTGACGCTCTTGCACAACCTTCTAAACCTTCTGCTTATTGGGGGTGTCGAACCCAACCCAGGTCCAGTCAACAAAAAACTGAAAATTTCCCACGCCAATGTCAACAGCATCACTGCAAGCGACAGACTTGACGAGCTTTCTCACTTTGCCCGTATTAACGATGTTGACATCATTTGCCTGACAGAGACAAAACTCGACAATAACGTCCACCCGAGCCTGTACCACCTCCCTGGTTACTCTGAGCCACTAACTCGACACCGAACACGTCATGGTGGGGGCGTGGCACTGTACACCAGGTCAAACCTGGCAGTGCACAGACTGACCGACTTCGAGTCGAACGATATAGAGTGGATCTGGGCCAATGTTAAAATAGGTGAAAAATCAATAATTGTGTGCTGCATTTACATTCCGCCCAACCCCTCGGCGCAGCAACAGTTTGACTTTTCAGAAAGATTAAAGGAAAATGTGCTGAAGGCCCAGGCTTTCAGAGCGTCTTCTATAGTACTGTTGGGTGACTTAAATTGTGGTAACATTTTCCTCAGTAACAGTAGCGTAACGCACAGCGGGATCAATAGCTTCGATCGCCTGCTGTTCGACACATATGCCGAGGTTGACATGCATCAGCTTATTTGCGAGCCAACACGGAAATCTGTCAACTGTTTCAATTTAAGAGACCAAATTGCGGTGTCAGACGTTCAGAGTGTCATGCAGAGCGGCACTTTGTCACCTTTCTCTAACATTGACCACATGCCGGTTTACGTTACACTTGACATAGAAACCACAATTTTTTTTTTTTGAATTTTGCATCCCTGCTAGCACAAGGCTATAGCAGGGGAAGGGAAGTTACTTGCTGGCAATTAGCCAGATCTTTTGTTTTACGTTAAGTTAATTGCCGGCTATTTGATTCCGGCCCAAGAGGCAAAGCAAAGACAAACTTTACGTTAGACCGGCTCATGTGGCGTCCGGTGGGTTGCAAAACAAAGGGAAGGCCAAAAAGGTGCCAGATAGGCGAGACCGATAAATTTGGTTACTTACATAGAGCTTGCTGCTGAGACTTGCTGCTGATTTGTGTGCTGTTGTTTGGTGTGTGTTGTTGTGGGGTGAACTTTACCAGGAAAAGTCCTAACTAGAAAAAACCTGGTGCCTAACCAAGAGGGCAAAAACCTGTGCTTTCAGCCAAAGTACACAGTAAAAAAGCCCTTTCTTTAATTACGTTATATTACGTTACGTTATATCGCTAATGTGTATGTGTGTTTGTGGAGCTATCACCTTCATCCACTCCCGGGGGCCATGGATGCAAGCCACCTAGGCCGCGCCCGGGGTGTCCGGCCAGATAGCTTCTGTGTCTCGAGTGGGCCTCAACCTTTAAGAGGGATCCCTGTCGAGCTTACACACACATATATATATATATATACACTTGGAAAAGGCGACCCGTGTGTAGGCAAAGGAGAACGAAAGCGAATGGAGGCAAAAACGAAGCGGATGGAAACGACGATGGAAGATCAAAGGACATCTATATACTGTGTGCAAGGTTGCGATCATATGCTATTGATGAGATTCGAATCACTGAGGAAGGTAAAGAGAAGTTCAATTAGATCTGGATGATCATCACCCAGGAGAGTTGGAAGGTCCAGGCTGAGGTTGTGTGTGTTTGTGTAGTGAATGATGTGTTGACGGTGTTGGTCGTAGTGTGGGCAGTTGAGAAGGAGGTGGGCAATGTTGAGTCGGGTGTGTGCGGTGCAGTGTGGACAGCTCGGGGGTGGCTCATTTTTTATGATAAAATCATGTGTTATCTTTGTGTGTCCTAGCCTCAATCTGGCTAGAACTATTTCCTTGAGTCGATTATCTTGATTAGAGGATGTGAAGTTACCAATTTGCGGGTGGATTTCAAAGAGATGATCGTAGGGAAGGGCCTGCCAGTCATACTGGCGCAGGTCTCGGAATGTGTGATTGAGGTGCGAAAGGATGTCTTGGTGTGTACAGCGATCTTCTTTACGATTAGAGAGATTAAGGCTTTGTTTGGCAAGCTCGTCGGCTTTTATGTTTCCCGGGATGCCACTATGTCCCGGGATCCATAGAAGTCTGATGTTGTATCCTATCTTGTTTAGGTTAATTATGTTCTTCTTAATCAGGTATACAATGTGGTGGTCGGT